TACAGTGTAATCAATATCGGGAAAAGGAGGTGGTGTTGCTGTGGCAGCCTCCTGGTTATCATCCTTCTTGTTCTGGTAAGTGGCCACTTTACTCTAAGTCTAAATATTGACCCAAATAATGACCCATTCGTTGCCTAAGTGCTAATGTTGATTACTGCAACAGTGTAACCCCAGTGAGAAATTTTTTCAGACGACATCGTTTTGAAATCGTTTTTCACCACGTTACGACGTTAAAGTAGGCCTGAAATCGACGGCTTTTTGACAGTCTATCACGTTTCGATGTCGTTTCGACGTTGAACTGTCAAAAAGGCGTCGATTTCAGGCCCATTTTTATGTCGTAGCGACGTGAAATACGATGAAGACGATGACGTCGAAAAAGTTTGTCACTGGGACGTTTCCAAATGCAACACTGATAAAGAAAGTGTTGCACCATTCGACGCACGACTTATCGTCAGTGCAAGTTATGCAGGGGGGGAGGCGAGGGGATGATCAGTCATGCGAAATGTGTACAATGATTTTACGGAAAGTGACTTTTTTGTGACTTTTTTGTGACTTTTTTGTGACTTTTTTGTGACTTTTTGTGACTTTTTTGTGACTTTTTTGTGACTTTTTGTGACTTTTTTGTGACTTTTTTTGGGGGTTGTACAATGATTTTTCGAAGTGATCCCCCCCTCGGGGGGAGGGGCACTTGTATATGTTCACCTTGTATGAACCTCGTGAATATATTTTTACCGAACATACCAAACGAGGGGTCGCCGACTCACCTCGGCAGTGTACGGAGTAGTATAGTAATATGCGTTATTAAGGCACGTTTTAAGATACTTTTTGTTATTGCTGAGCTAAACTTGAACTTGAAATTAAATTTTAACTTTAAATGCTTATTGCTGAGCATAACTTGAACTTGAAACTAAACCTTAACTTTGAATGCTCAGCTCTGTCAGGAAGCGCAAGGGGAGACCGCCCGGAAGACGGCGTGAAGTGAGGCGCCTGGCGTGAGACGTGGGATGTGAGGTGGACAGGCATGCCAACCAAAATCGCGAAAATATTTTAATTTTAGCGCGCCGCAGGCCAAGGTAGACGCACATTTAGCTAAGCTTCACACTGTTTTAACGTGCGTCTACCTTGTTAGAAGTTATCAGAAGGTATTATTTGGGTATTTCGGTGTATTTTTTGTAAAATTTTGGAGTTTTATGAAGTATTTTAAAGCTATTTGGAGACCCGTGTGCGGAGTATTATGCGAGGTGGCAACACCTCGATACAAAAATAAGGTTAAAGATAATTATAATTTAGTTGTACCAAACCTAAGGAGGGTGTTGATTCCTTCCCGAGGGAAATAGTTCGTACACCTCACCTTCCTCCGATATAGTCCGATATAGTCATAAATAAAGGCAAAGTGTAGCAAGATAGGCCCAAATACTAGACGCGAGTCGGTGAAACAATCGCGAAATACCCCTTGAATACTTCGAAATCCCACAAAATGCCCAAAAATAATCCGAAATAGGCGACAAATAACCGAAATGACAGGAGAAATACCAAGAAATAGCCCGTACGCTACGAACCCAAGTGATTTACCCTTCGTTTCTTTCTTCGTTATTCAGTGAACTGACAGCGTTGTCGGTCGAAGACTTTCCTTATCCTTATCGCCCGATCGGAAATGAATTGTACGCATTTTCGTTGCGTCACATTTTTTACCGAGGGTCTACACTGAAAAAAAAGAATCATTGTTCCAACGACCGTCGTGTTCTTGTGGCCGGGTTGTTGGTCCAAAGACACGATGTTGCTAACCCTATGACAGCCGGTAGTTGTGCCACCGACCATGTCGTTGAGCCACCAATCATGGTCGTTGGAATAGCATCCTATGTTTCTGAAGCCATTCCAAGAACAAAATGTTGTTGAAGGAGCAACTCATGTCGTTGGTACAATGATTCTTTTTTTTGCGTGTATCTGAGTTCGAATTAATTTGCCTTACGTTCGCTCCTGTGTACAAGACGTTCGCTGACGTACGTTCGGATATTCTGCCATAGAGTCGCCAAGATTCGCCTCTTTTCTCCACGGGTCCGTTCTAGTTCGATCGCGTGTGCGGGGAGCTCGTCAGCTGGCCACCGGAGTGTGATTGGTCCGCCCATGTGGGCGAACAGCTAACTTTTGAGTCGCTCACTTCTGTACGTTCACGCGCATTCGTCGCTTGGTCGAACTCACCACAAAACAAGCAGGCCCGCCCTTCCGCCAAACGGAGTTGGCAGCTCCACTTCACTGCGCCGGCAACTCCGTTCGGCAGGGGACGGGCCTGCTTGGCCTGCCCGCGGCGATGGTCGGGCCTTCGGTCCGACCATTTCAGT